CCCTCCCTAAAATGGGATGTCAGTCCATTGCATGGTTACACCCCAGCATTTGATTAGGCTTCCCTGATAAATAGTCCCAGTATCCATCCGGATTACTCCGGGGTGGGTAAGTCTGGCACTGTCTGTGAAAGTAAAGATTTTGACCTGGCCAGGTCTCAAACCAAAAACCTCGACTGGGAGTCCAGCACACTGACTGTTAAGCCTTTAACTTCCACAAGTGATTAATGTAGTGAATCGACGGGAGAATGTTTATGTAAAATCAAGTTTAATTAACATAAGAAAACAAGAACAATGATTCAGCTTACAAGTACATGTGCTTTTAATTTTTGTGTCCCTTGGGATATCCAATTACCTCGTGGTATGTACGTGCATGATTAGGTCATGAGTATAACAATTAACATGTAACTTCTCCCCATATTATTCACAAACTATCCAGCAAACAAGTAGTAAGAATACTCAATCCTATTGGGTAGAAATTGTTGTAACCAATTTACAAGCAAATGTGTGGCAGCTATATAGGGGAGAGTTAACAATCAGGTCTTGGGAGTTCAACAGTTAAGCCACTGTGCCTCCCATACATCACAAATGAAACCACGATAAAAAAGGTTCTGGTTACACCGCAGAGTAAATATTTCAGATTTCAGATGGGAAAAGAAGCAAGGGTGACCAATAGCAGTGCTCAAAATTAGCGGTCATCCGGTCTTCCAAGATGACCAAAAAGTTTACAGGGCAACCAATTTTTAGTAAAATTAAGAGGCTGGTTGTCTGGGAAAAAACAACAGAAAACCCAGCCAAAAATAGAAAATAAATTAACCATGAAGTGCACCTGACCTACATGGCGGTTTTGTTTTGTCAATGTCCGGTAGTGTGAAGTTAATAATAATTTGCCTCAGCTAAGCGCTTTCCTGTGTTTTGGATATCTATAAATTTTATAAAACATTGCCAGGTACGAAAATGTAAGAGACAAACACAAAGTTTCTTGTCTGGATGTGAACAAAATCAAAGACACCACTTTGAATATGCCACAACTTAAACCCAGACTTCCTCAAAAACCATTGCCGCTCACTAAGAACAATGGGATTAATTCAAGCTTGACCGCCATGTGATTACATCTCAAGCTCTATCTCAAGATCTACCTAAGATCTCAGTGGTAATTCTCCTTACAGTCTTCCATACAATCCTTATGATGTCCATTCAGAGAATTTGGTGTTGAATCAACTAATAATCCCTTAAAATTGATATTTTTCTCTATTCTCATCACTTGTCTTCTTGATATTGTATTCAGATTGTAGAGAGAAATTCTGTGTTGGTTAGCTGTGCAAGTTAGAGGGTTCATTTAAGGTGGGGTGAGGCAGAAAGGGTAGCTCAGGATCTGTCTAACTGGCAAAATACAGTCAAGTGGAAACCTGCATCCTCAAAACATTCTCTCCAAATTTAAACCGATGCACTGTCAGTGATAATACTTACAAAATGTTTGTTTTCCCTAGAAATATTTTTGCTGACTTGGGTTGAAGTACCGGGTCAGTTTCCATCTTCTCAAGAGAAACTCCTAGACGGCAACAGAGAAAGATGTGATCAATAAAATAGTTTATAAATGAAATACAAATTAAAGAAAAAAATATTAAAAAATAAAACAGGAAAAAAAGAGATGGGGTAATGGGGACAGCATATTTCTCTCACATTGTAGAGAGGGGGAGGAGAAATGCAATATTCAATAATTGTTTAATACTTTTGAAACAGTCTCCAACAAAGACACTCACTTTTCTCTGAGTTCAAACATTCGAGAACACTATACAGTCAGGAGGGGCTTGGAAACTAAGCAGACTTTGAACTTGACATGATGTAGGCAAGATCTGTGGCTAAAGTGCCATTTACCGTGTCAACTTCACATGCTAAATTGAATATTGATTGAATGCTCTTGACCAATCAGATTTTCCATTTTAAGGCTACTGTATTTATAAGATTTATTCGCTGAAAGTCAAAGATAAAAGGGCAACACACTAAATAGCTATGAATAACTAACCAAGCTGTATCTCCATCACAGTCCTCAGCTTTTGCAGCATGCTGACCCTGTATGACTGAGGATTAAATAACATTTTTTTTCACTAAATAAGTGTGTATGGTTAAGCAACAAAACAAGACAATGTCAATAATAGAAACCTTAGGCAGTCAGGAGGGCAGTGCTAGGGAAACATTAAAAAAAAATTACTCTTTATTCAAAATATTGCCAATGGCTGTATGTGTGTACTGTCCGTGGTCGTGTCACATAACTTCAGCACAACCTAATTTATGTGAGTTGCACAGGATTGAGTCCCAAATGAAAACTTAAAGAATTCGCCATCAAGGGAAACACCTAAATAATGTAAGTGCTACGCCCGTGAAATCATTTTGTTTCGCCAATTGTCCTCGCTGCCATTACTGTTGTTGTTTGCTTAAACCTTAATTTTTGACCCTGCAACTACAATGTACATCGATCAGCACAACCAACTTAGTTTAAATCTGATTGGTTTCTAGTGTCATCTATTGTTGTTAAGCCTATCAGTAGTATACATTTGTACTTGAGTTATTATACTTTTGCACATATAACATGAAAAAGGCACCTAGCTGTTTAAAGCCAATCAAGAGTGTAATTTTTCATGTATATCAGTATTGTGAAGAATTAGAAAAAAACCAATCAAGTAACTGAAAAGGAGTCCTGGTCTACCAAATAATGGCTGAATACCGACATGTAGTGCTACCAAGTTTAAATATGAATTCTTAGAGAGTTTAGAATTAAGACTGCCACAGGAAGTCATGAAAAAATGTTAAGGTCTGAATAATTCTGGGCATTACTTGGAAAACAATACTAATCACATTTCAGTTGTAACATTAACCTGCTAAGCTCCTATAAGAAATGGAATATAGGCATTGAAGAAAATCATTAGTGATAACTAAAGCATCACATTCCACATTTTGTGTTGTCCAACCACTTTTTGTAATACTGGCCAGTAAATACATTTACTGACCAGTAATTGATTTGAAATTGATTTAAAACTCAAAGGAGCTTTTTACATAAATAAGATCAAACCTGAACTTAACAAACAATTACAGCATTATAACACTTTTCTAGCGTTTTAGTTTACACCTTTGATGTTTGGTGTCCCGTTGTAATTAGTACCCGCTTTTGCATTACATCATACTATAAATATTTTATTCATCTACTTGTCTGTTATATAATTACTCACGTTCTGTTACTCATTGATCGAAGATGGCATAAGCATGCCGAAACATGTCTCTCAAAAATGTTGTCTATTTCTTACAATATTTATCATACTCGTTACTACAACGACCTTATGGAAATACATTTAAATAATACATCATAATCATTAAACTCGAAGAATAACCCTTAAAACGTGATAAGATATCCTTCGTTTTCACGAAATTGTCATGAGAGCCAATCCTTCACCAGTAGATATTGTTTAATCGAGATTCCCAATTACTTACTTTTTGTAGTTTTGAAAGATGCCTCCATGAATTCTCAACAGTGCCAGGAGAATGCAACTACAATATAACTTATTTCACTTTATGGCAGTTTCAGGTGGCTTTGAGAAACTTTTAAACACTTTCAAACACTCACTGGTGCAACTCCTGCACCGATAGATCAAACCAATAGTTGTTGGCTCGCAAGCGTGCAATGACTCCTTTCCAGTGTTATATCTAAATAAGAAGTACAACCCGTACTGAAGATTCAAGCAGTTTTAAATGTTGCCTTACAAGAGTGTTAAAACAAAAAAATAGCTCTTGCACAAGCTGCACTTCTAAACGCAAGCCGGGTCTGGCTGTGTTGACTTGAAAATTACCCAAGATCACTCTTACAACCAAGATGGTTGACTCGTGACAGAGGCTCGACTCTCGAGGACAAATAAATAAACAAATTCGATCGTGCCATTATGTAGCTACACATTTTGTGTAAGCCACACGAAAATGCAACGTCATCTTACGTCAAAGATATCCACGATGGTTTCTCTAGTCTCTTACTGTGTCACGCTACTTGACGAATCACGCGATCGTCACAGCGTTTTGAAACCTATCAGAAACAAAATTTCACAAAAAACTGCCAGAAGAAGAGAACGTGATCTGTGATTTCTGTGTGTATTCGAAATAGTCTCCATACAAGTGTTCAGATTTTACGGAAACTATCGATAGTGTGGAGCCAAAGGTAAGTGTTTCGAAAATCAAAATGAAAATGTGAGCTTCCTAAATTCCCCTCCTTAAAAATAATTGTCTACGTCATTTAGCGACGAAATACGCTTGTATTTGTGATTTCATTTTAGCAAACGACTGAAAAAACCTTTATCTCACTTGATTTTCCTTCTAATCCGATGATTGCTGATATATTGATGTCTTACTGAGCTCAGAATACACATGTTTTATGTGGCTTATGCTTCCATGAGCACGAGGCAATGGCGGGTGGGCATGTGAGTGAGAGCTTCAAGTCAGCCCTTGGAGGTAAGCAAAGAGGATTTTATTGTGCGCTGAGTTGACTTTCATAATGAGCACTTTCTTTCTGCGAATTGCATCTTCAATGAAACACATTTTCACATCCTCGAGGGAATGTAAGCCGCACGAACGAGCATTTCGATTTCAGCTAAGCCGATCATTACTGAAATCAAACATGACATTCGTAATAAATTTGCATTAAACATGAAACTGCAATAAAGATGTTTCTGAGGGTGAAGAAAATCGCACACGAAAGTCAAACGATCGATTGAATTTTACCGAGCTAGTTGAATTTGTCGAAAACATTCGAACAAAACCGCGTCATGTTTTGTAACGAATCGAAGTGCTGATCAGATTAGATGCTGGCTTAGTGCGGCGTTACACGCCTCGTGTAAGCCGCACAAGAAATAGTAGGATAGAACTTATCGGTGATGAAAATTGAACCAATATGTTGTGTTTGGATGTTTATTTATGTCGTCGATAGGATTTTTTGTGATAAATCGGCTTCGCTAGATAATTAT